TAAAGTTTTTAAAAATGTGTGTTAACTTTTAACTTTTTCTTATTTATGCGTATAAACTCAACTTAACCGAGTTAAAATAAATCATTAACTTGCCCGTCTTGTAAATATAAATCTAAATATTATTCATAAAATATTTTTAAATTTAGAATGAATATATTAATGAATATATTATTTACTATACATAGATTAAAATGAAATTAGTGCGCAGAATGTGAGCTATTTACAATGGAAAATTCTAATGCCGCTGTTTCTAATACTGAATCCGAAATTATAATATTATTTTATTTATTGATATTAAGACATTATGTTATAATTGTTATACTCGCATTAACAAAGTAAAACAAATGATTCAATTCAAAAAAAAGTATTGATAATTTTCCTGTTATAAAATTATCAATAACATTATCAATATACCAGACAGGTCAGGCTTAGAGTTAARTACCTACACTCAATTTATTAAAAACCCATATAATATTATTTTTCAATTGAATTATCAGATTACCCACATATTATGATTGATTCGTATAAGGTATAAAGGTATACGTATAACATGATTATACTTATGAGTTATGATAATGCAATATGATGTAAAGCATCCTGTAGTTACTACCTACATAGTTAGTTAAATTTATTTTGAATTGAATATAAAAAATATAGACCGATGAGAGCTTTCCAAATATGCATAATGTTATATAAAAGAAAGGCTATTATGTATTTTTGTTTTTAAAAATCGATATATTTTATGATTGTGACAAGGTGGGTAAAATGTTATCGTCGATTCCATAATGACACRTAAAAAACACAATGTATTTACCACSAGTTTCCATGCTTGTTCACTACGGGCTTGGTGTTGATAGTATCGTAATTTGGTGATGGTAGCAGCATATAAGATCTAGTCCGTATCGGCCATGTAAAATCAAGTTCATCATGGTTAGGAACAATCCGTTTCGTGTTGGATAGAGTGTCTAACATTTTGTAATGATCGGAATGAGCTGAAATTATGACAATATGAATGATTAAGTACATAAGCCATTAAAAAATTACAAACATGACATGTAAAGCAAATAAATACAAATATCAAATGAGTTAAAAGTCCTAAATGCAAAAATATAATTCAGTTATAAAAATATTTTTCATTACCTAATAATAAAAAAAAATAACAATGATATTAATAATTTCCAATACCTACAGTTCTTACTAATGAAGAAATTTAAAAATAATAAGATGGGTAACTCACCGCTGGGACGATCTGTATCGACATTCACGTCAAGTGCTTTTCCACTGATGGCAATGATTGCAGTGATTAAAATTAAGATTTTTATTATGAAAATCATGATGTTGTATCGCCGTACAGTGTAGTAGTGTAAACTGAACGCCGATGACTGTCGAGTGATGACCAGAAACCTTCTACGTGTCTTTTTATAACTTACAAGTCACCACGGCACCTACCGGACAAACAATWAACCGCAAACGGGTACATAATATTATATTTTAATACGATAATATTATTTTTGACTGATCTTATGTTCATATTCCTGGAATAGCCTGACATGACTCGTCGGTAGTCCATTAGGCTATTGGACAGCATACTGCAGTAGCGTGTGAAACTACTATAGCACAAATTTAGGCCGAGTCCCAGAACTCGGGGGGGTCCACAAGCCTCTTGGACAATTCTGAAACGACTTATTTAGAATAATAGAAAATATTGATGTACCTATCTATCAGCATTGATTATAAATATTAGTTTTTAAAATCAATGCTATCAGTAAATATTCCAAATCACACGTGTAGAATTCAGTCACAATCAATATTAAAATATAGAACAATGATACACACTACACAGGTATGCAATAGGGCGCAACACGTTTGGACATTGGGCGTCATTTTTTCTTTTTAATATTTGCATAATATTATACGGATTCCAAGCCTATTAGTGTTACCCTAGAAGTCACCACAAGGAGGTTAGCGCATAAGTTTTCCAAAATATTTAAATATTATTATTATTATTATTAGGTACTTTTTTTTTGTAAAACGTCCTAATTTTATTTAGTAAACATTTTTTAAGTTTCTGATCCATCCAAGTACTTGTTTTTATGTAATTAATTAATTTTATGTTTTTTTTAATACATTTTTTGTGCTGCAAAAYGTGGTCCTAATTTGTAATTGCTTCGTTCTTATCGTTCATGGTTTCACGTTGAACATTTTAGAAAGCAATGTCTCGAAATAAGTTATATTTGATATCATGTTTTAACTAATAACAGTAATAACGATACTAATTCGGGTAATAGTATATAATAAGTATGGTATAAACAAAAGTTTTTATTGTAATTGTTCAACAATTGGTA